GATATTCGTCATGAAGAGCAACCCCAAGGCACATAATCGTCAGATTCACCAGTGTTGAAATGAAGGAGAAAATACTAAGGGCAGCCAGAGAGAAAGGTCGGGTTACCCACAAAGGGAAGCCCATCAGACTCACAGCAGACCTCTCAGCAGAAACACTATAAGCCAGAAGAGAGTGGGGGCCAATATTCAACATCCTTAAAGAAAAGAACTTTCAACCCAGAATCTCCTATCCAGCCAAACTAAGCTTCATAAGTGAAGGAAAAATAAAATCCTTTGTGAACATGCAAGTACTCAGAGATTTTGTCACCACCAGGCCAGCTTTACAAGGGCTCCTGAAAGAGGCTCTACACATATAAAGGATCAATCAGTGCCAGCCACTCCAAAAACATGCCAAAAGGTAAAGAGAATCAACACAATGATGAATCTGCATCAACTAATGGGCAAAACACCCAGCTAGCACCAAAATAGCCGTATCAAATTCGCACATAACAATATTAGCCCTAAATGTAAATGGACTAAATGCCCCAATCAAAAGACACAGACTGGCAAATTGGATAAAAAGCCAAAACCCATCGGTGTGCTGTATCCAGGAAACCCATCTCACATGCAAGGATACACAAAGGCTCAAAATAAAGGGATGGAGGAAGATTTACCAAGCAAATGGAGAGCAAAAAAAAGCAGGAGTTGCAATTCTCATCTCTGATAAAATAGACTTTAAAGCAACAAAGATCAAAAGAGACAAAGAAGGACATTACATAATGGTAAAAAGATCAATGCAACAAGAAGAGCTAACGATCCTAAATATATACGCACCCAATACAGGAGCACCCAGATACATAAGGCAAGTTCTAAATGACTTACAAAGAGACTTAGACTCCCACACAATAATAGTGGGAGACTTTAACACCCCATTGTCAATGTTAGACAGAACAACAAGACAGAAAATCAACAAGGATATCCAAGACTTGAACTCAGACCTGAACCAAGCAAACCTAATAGACATTTACAGAATTCTCCACCCCAAATACACAGAATATACATTCTTCTCAGTACCACATCACACCTACTCTAAAATTGACCACATAATTGGGAGTAAATCACTCCTCAGCAAATGCAAAAGAATGGAAATCGTAACAAACAGTCTCTCAGACCACAGTGCAATCAAGTTAGAACTCAGAATTCAAAAACTAACCCAGAACCGCACAGCTTCATGGAAACTGAACAACTTGCTCTTGAATGTTGACTTGATAAGCAATGAAATGAAGACAGAAATAAAGATGTTCTTCGAAATCAACAAGAATGAAGACACAACATACAAGAATCTCTGGGACACATTTAAAGCAGTCTCTAGAGGAAAATATATAGCAATAAGTGCCCACATGAGAAGCAAGGAGAGATCAAAAATTGACACCCTATCGTCAAAACTGAAAGAGCTAGAGGAGCAAGATCAAAAAACCTCAAAGTCTAGCAGAAGAAAAGAAATAGCTAAGATCAGAGCAGAACAGAAGGAGATAGAGACACAAAAAACCCTTCAAAAAATCAATAAATCCAGGAGCTGTTTTTTTGAAAAGATCGACAAAATAGACCACTAGCCAGATTAAGAAAAAAGAAAAGAGAGAATAACCAAATTGATGCAATAAAAAATGATAAAGGGGATATCACCACAGATTCCACAGAAATTCAAACCATCATCAGAGATTATTACAAACAACTCTCTGCACATAAACTAGTAAACCTGGAAGAAATGGATAAATTCCTGGACACTTGCCTCCTCCCAAGCTTAAACCAGGAAGAAGTCGAAACCCTGAACAGACCCATAACAAGGTCTGAAGTTGAGGCAGCAATTAAGAGCTTACCACCCAAAAAAAGCCCAGGTCCAGACGGGTTCACAGCCAAATTCTACCAGTCATACAAAGAGGAGCTGGTACCATTCCTTTCTGAAACTATTCCAAACAATACAAAAAGAGGGAATTCTTCCTGAGTCATTTTATGAGACCAACATCATCCTGATTCCAAAACCCGGCAGAGACTCAACAAGAAAAGAAAACTTCAGGCCAATATCCATGATGAACAATAGATGCAAAAATCTTCAATAAAATACTGACAAGCCGATTGCAACAGCACATCAAAAAGCTTATCCACCATGATCAAGTAGGCTTCATCCCGGGGATGCAAGGCTGGTTCAACATACGCAAGTGTATAAACATAATTCACCACATAAACAGAACCAAAGACAAAAACCACATGATTATCTCAATAGATGCAGAGAAGGCCTTTGACAAAATTGAACAGCCCTTTATGCTAAAAACCCTCAATAAGCTAGGTATTGACGAAACATATCTCAAAATAATAAAAGCTATTTATGACAAACCAACAGCTAATATCATACTGAATGGGTAAAAACTGGAAGCATTTCCCTTGAAATGTGGCACCAGACAAGGATGCCCTCTCTCACCACTCCTATTCAATATAGTACTAGAAGTTCTAGCCAGAGCAATCAGGCAAGAAAAAGAAATAAAGTGTATTCAAATAGGAAAGGAGGAAGTCAAATTGTCTCTATTTGCAGACGACATGATTGTATATCTAGAAGACCCCATCGTCTCAGCCCCAAGTCTCCTGAAACTGATAAGCAAGTTCAGCAAAGTCTCAGGATACAAAATCAATGTGCAAAAATCACATGCATTCCTATACACCAATAACAGACTTAAAGAGAGCCAAATCAAGAACAGACTTCCATTCACAATTGCCACAAAGAGAATAAAATACCTAGGAATACAAATAACAAGGAATGTAAAGGACCTCTTCAAGGAGAACTACAATCCACTACTCAATGAAATAAGAGAGGACACAAACAGATGGAGAAACATTCCATGTTCATGGTTAGGAAGAATCAATATCGTGAAAATGGCCATACTGCCCAAAGTAATTTACAGATTCAATGCTATCCCCATCAAGCTACCAACGACCTTCTTCACAGAACTGGAGAAAATTACCTTAAACTTTATATGGAACCAAAAGGGAGCCCGCATAGCCAAGTCAATTCTAAGCAAAAAGAACAAAGCGGGAGGCATCACAGTACCTGACTTCAAATTATACTACCAGGCTACAGTAATCAAAACAGCATGGTACTGGTACCAAAACAGAGATATAGACCAATGGAACAGAACAGAGGTCTCGGAGGCAACACAACATATCTGCAACCATCTGATCTTTGACAAACCAGACAAAAACAAGCAATGGGGAAAGGATTCCCTGTTCAATAAATGGTGTTGGGAAAGCTGGCCAGCCATGTGCGGAAAGCAGAAACTGGACCCCTTCCTGACATCTTACACTAAAATTAACTCCAGATGGATTAAAGACTTAAACATAAGACCTAACACCATAAAAACCCTAGAAGAAAATCTAGGCAAAACCATTCAGGACATAGGTGTAGGCAAGGACTTCATGGCCAAAACACCAAAAGCATTGACAACAAAAGCCAAAATAGACAAATGGGACCTAATCAAACCCCACAGCTTCTGCACAGCAAAAGAAATAGTCATTACAGCGAGTCAGCAACCAACAGATTGGGAAAAAATTTTTGCAGTTTACCTATCTGACAAAGGGCTGATATCCAGAATTTACAAATAACTAAAACAGATTTACAAGAAAAAAACTAACAAGCCCATTCAAAAGTGGGCAAAGGATATGAACAGACACTTCACAAAAGAAGACATACATGAGGCCAACAAGCATATGAAAAAATGCTCATCATTACTGGTCATCAGAGAAATGCAAATCAAAACTACATTGAGATACCATCTCACGCTAGTTAGAATGGCAATCTTTAAAAAATCTGGAGACAACCGATGCTGGAGAGGATGTGGAGAAATAGGAACACTTTTGCACTGTTGGTGGGAGTGTAAATTAGTTCAACCATTGTGGAAGACAGTGTGGCGATTCCTCAAGAACCTAGAAATAGAAATTCCATTTGACCCAGCAATCCCATTACTGGGTATATATCCAAAGGATTACAAATTGTTCTACTATAAGGCCACGTGCACACAAATGTTCATTGCAGCACTGTTTACAATAGCAAAGACCTGGAACCAACCCAAATGCCCATCGACGATAGACTGGATAGGGAAAATGTGGCACATATACACCGTGGAATATTATGCAGCCATCAAAAACGATGAGTTTGTGTCCTTTGTAGTGACATGGATGAACCTGGAAACCATCATTCTCAGCAAACTGACAGAAGAGCAGAAGATCAAACACCGCATGTTCTCACCCATAGGTGGCTATTGAACAATGAGAACACATGGATACAGGGAGGGGAGCACTACACACTGGGGTCAGTTGGGGGGAAATAGGGGAGGGACGGTGGGGGGTGGGGAGCTGGGGAGAGATAGCAAAGGGAGAGATGCCAGATGTAGGTGATGGAGAGGAAGGCAGCAAATCACACTGCCACGTGTGTACCTATGCAACAATCTTGCATGTTCTTCACATGTACCCCAAAACCTAAAATGCAATAAAATAAATAAATGGGGGAAAAATATTTTAATCAGGAAATCCTCAAAGATTCCTGCACTTTTAAATTCACCTATTCATTCAACAAACACTGAACACTTATTGTACTATGTGATGGAGCTATAAAGACTGTTAGTATGTGGCTCCAGGCCCCGGGAGATCTCCCCTTACAGTGGGATAAATAAACATGTAAACATATAGCTATATAATGCTATGACCAGCAATCCAACAGTTATTTAAAAATGGGCTATGATAGTTAAAGTTGCGTGTGAGTCACACAGACAGCTAAGTATGTTGCAGTCGCAGATGGCTTCACAAAAAGAGTCTCCCTAAGCCTCCCTTTTTCTTTTTTTTTTTTTAGATGGGGTTTCACCATATTGGTCAGGCTGGTCTCGAACTCCTGACCTCAGGTGATCCCCCCACCTCAGCCTCCCAAAGTGCTGGGATTACAGGCGTGAGCCACCGCGCCCGGCTATAAGCCTCCCTTTTTCTTAATGATTTCAAAAGCATACTTCCAGGGAGCCTCACTCTCTGCATTGGGAGCTTATAGGAACTGTTTATTCTGAGGCCCCAAGGGTTGATGGGAGAGGAGATCTTAAATAGCACAGGTGCTGGTCTTGTTTTCATGCTGACTGTGCCTCTGAGGCTTTTTTTTTTTTTTTTTTTTATTCATCCTTTTGTAAATTTCTCTCTCATCCAAGGTGCTTTACCTTGAGGAGGCCTTTATTCAAGTCACATTGGAAGACTGAGAGGACAGTAGCTGCTGACCTGGGGTATGTGAAGAGGGAATATCAGCTTCAGTGATTGATTTCTGCCTTGCCTTGTCTCTATGTTTTCTCCTTTAGTTCAGAAATACAGAGAAGGGGTAGAGAGTGGAGGAAAGGGAAAATCACTTCAGGGATTCGGTTAGACTCATCACGACACTTGGACGTGACTTGCCTCCAAAACATTGTCTGAACATTTTCACTGGAGGAGGTAACACTTGGGGGTTTCATAAATTGAATTTGGTACTGATGAAAGACCTGGCTTAGAATCTTGGTGTTAGGTTTGTTCCTCAGAGGTGGAGCTGGCCAAAGGGCTAAGTGAAAGGATAAGTTAAATGAGAAGAGTGCCCTGGGGCTGAGGTACCCCGGACATAATGAATGTCCTGTGCATCTTAATAGTTGCGGATTGCATTACAAAATTCACTTACAAGAAGTTAGGGATAGGGACAGGAGGTGATCACAGGCTGAATTGAAAACGTTCACTCTCGCTTCCCCAACATTATTTGTGAATTTCCTTTAACTTTCATTAGACTCTTGTGCTTGTCTGCCTTCCTACCACCAGAAATTCCTCATTCCTTTCCCTGCAATCTCCAGGTTAGAGAGCAGTTTGGGGACCTCATTAAATGTCCAAGACTTAAGAATTTGAGATGCTTGACTAGAATAGTCTTGGAAAAGTAAAGCTGATGGTAATTCAGAACTTTTCTACTGCACAATACTCAGGGCTGCTATCTCATTCTTGGAGATTATTACAAATATTCCTTAGCTTCTGTTTTTCTTGACCCACTAATAATTTTCCCAAGAACTATCAAGGCTGTTCTTTGTAATTGACATTGTATAACTGCCATGGAAATAACAAGTGATCATTCTTAACAATTTAAATTTGATAAGTAGATACCATTTCTCTTTAAAATTGCTGAAATTTGAGCAGAAGTCCCAAATAATACCTTCACAGTTAAAGAGAAATACAGTTTAAGAGGCAAATATGTAAGCATTTCAGCAAAAGCAATCATGAGAAAAAGATGACTCATTACTTCCCCCTGCTTCTATTTATCTGTTTGTTCATCTGTTAGACAAATATTTATTGAGTACCTATTATGTACTAAGCATTGAAAGAGGTTTCAGGGATAAAATGGTGAACAAAAAATGTCTGAGCTCTAGCTGGTGAGAAAGACATATGTGGAATAAATAATCACCTACATTAATCATTGCAAAATGTAATAAGTGCTACAAGGAAAATGTTTGCGATACTATGATAACTTGTCATACCAGGACTTGATTTAGCCTGGGGGTCAGAGAAGGTTTTCCTGAGAAACTGTTTTTTGAGCTGCGGCTTGAAGAAAAACTAGGCACTAGCTAGGCAAAGAAAATGGAGTAAAACTCTCTGCAGCTGTAGAACAATATGTGCAAAGGTCCTGTGGATGGAGGGAGCATGCTCATTTAAAGAGATTGGGGAGGCCAATGTGGCTAGAGCTCCAAGAGAGGCGTGAAGCACTGTGTTATGAAGCTGGTGCCAGATCACGTAGGACCTTGTAGTAAGAGTCAAGGATTTTGAGACTGTACTAAGAGAATAGAAAAATCATTTGGGGGTTTTAAGCAGGGAATGGCATGATCATATATACATTTTCAGATATTGCTAATTGTACTATAGAGAATGGATATTGGACAAAAGAATTTCAGGGGACCAGTAAGAAGGCTACTGCATAATGCAGGTGAGAAGTAGTAGTAGATTGGACTAGGTAGTGGGGATAGAGACAAAGATTGGTAGATGGTTCGATTTATTTAGCAATAAAATTGGGGCCAGGTGTGGTGGCTCACACCTGTAATCCTAGCACTTTGAGAGGCCGAGGCGGGCAGATCATTTGAGGATAGGAGTTAGAGACCAACCTGGCCAACATGGTGAAACCTTTTCTCTACCAAAAATACAAAAATTAGCCAGGTGTAGCAGTGGGTGCCTATAATCCCAGCTACTTGGGAGGCTGAGGGGTGAGAATTGCTTGAACCTGGGAGGCAGAGGTTACAATGAGCCGAGATTGTACTACTGCACTCCAGGCTGGGTGACAGAGTGAGAGTCTGTCTCGGAGCGGGGGATGTGGGGGTGGGAAGATAGGAGTTGGTGTAGATTGGAAATTGAAGATGAGGGAGGTGGAAGGTATTAAGCCTTACTCGGGTTACCTGGCTTGTTGTACTTATTAGATGGTGATACTTGCTGCTGTGATAAAGATCACTGGAAGAGCATCAGATTTGGGGTGAAATTTGTGAAGCTTGTTTTGCATATGGCCATTTGCAGTGTCTTTGAGACAGCCACATGTATGATATATGGAGTAGACAGCTGTATGCAAGTCTGGAGCTCAGAGGAGAGGTCTGGCTGGGCCACGTCAAATTGTTGATGTACAGCTTGCTATTGAAGCCGTATTTTGGTGAGATATGGGTTGGGGTTGATAAACTAGCTAATGAAATTTACCTCAACATGGTCACATGAAAGTTACACTAGTATAGCATTGGATGGAAACTTAGAAGTTACCTTTAAAGTTTTGCTTCAAACAGTAAAATAATTATTATTATTTCCAATATAGCACCATTATTATTAAAGTTTTTTGGAAAGGCTAACCCTCTCTTGTCCCTCCCTAGTTTTGTAAACAGATGAGAAAAAGTAAGACCTCAGCAGTTGAAAGTGGCTTTTCTTTAGCAGCAGAGCTGGGATAACAACCTTAAATGCCCTAATTATGGTTGTTTAATATCATGGTCATAAGTTGTTTTTAATCTAGGATTTTTTTGACATGGAAGGGTAAGATCTTGGATAACAGAGAACCTTTCTATTACTATTATTTTAATTATGAACAGGACCATTTAAAAAATATATATATTTTATTGCATTTTAGGTTTTGGGGTACATGTGAAGAACATGCAAGATTGTTACATAGAAACACACATGGCAATGTGGTTTTCTGCCTTCCTCCCAATCATTTCTCCCCATGTTGTCCCTCTCCAACTCCCCACCACCCACCCGATGTCCCTCCCCTAGTTCCCCCCAACAGACCTGAGTCTGTGATGCTCCCCGCCATGTCCATGTGTTCTAATTGTTCAACAGCTGCCTATGAGTGAGAACATGCAGTGTTCTTGTGTCAGTTTGCTGAGAATGATGGTTTCCAGGTTCATCCATGTCCCCAAAGGACATGAACTCATCGTTTTTTATGGCTGCATAGTATTCCACGGTGTATATGTGCCACATTTCCCTGTCCAGTCTATCATCGATGGGCATTTGGGTTGGTTCCAGGTCTTTGCTATTGTAAACAGTGCTGCAATGAACATTCGTGTGCATGTGTCCTTATAGCAGAATGATTTATAATCCTTTGGATATATACCCAGTAATGGGATTGCTGGGTCAAATGGAATTTCTATTTCTAGGTCCTTGAAGAATCACCACACTGTCTTCCACAATGGTTGATCTAATTTACACTCCCACCAAGAGTATAAAAGTGTTCCTATTTCTCCACATCCTCTCCAGCACCTGTTGTCTCCAGATTTTTTAATGATCACCATTCTAACTGGCCAGAGGTGGTATCTCAATGTAGTTTTGATTTGCATTTCTCTAATGACCAGTGATGATGAGCATTTTTTCAAATGTTTCTTGGCCTCATGTATGTCTTCTTTTGTGAAGTGTCTGTTCATATCCTTTGCCCACTTTTGAATGGGCTTGTTTGTTTTTCTTGTAAACCTGTTTTAGTTCTTTGTAAATTCTGGATATCAGCCCTTTGTCAGGTGGGTAGACTGCAAAAATTTTTTCCCACTCTGTTGGTTGCCAATTCACTCTAATGACTGTTTCTTTTGCTGTGCAGAAGCTCTGGAGTTTGATTAGGTCCCATTTGTCTATTTTGACTTTTGTTTGCAGTGCTTTTGGTGTTTTAGTCATGAAGTCCTTGCCTAAGCCTATGTCCTGAATGGTTTTGCCTAAGTTTTCTTCTAGGGTTTTTATGGTGTTAGGTCTATGTTTAAGTCTTTAATCCATCTGGAGTTAATTTTCGTGTAAGGTGTCAGGAAGGGGTCCAGTTTCTGCTTTCTGCACATGGGTATCCAGTTTTCCCAACACCATTTATTAAACAGGGAATCCTTTCCCCATTGCTTATTTTTGTTAGGTTTGTCAAAGATCAGATGGTTGTAGATGTGTGGCATTGCCTCTGAGGCCTCTGTTCTGTTCCATTCGTCTATATCTCTGTTTTGGTACTAGTACCGTGCTGTTTTGATATCTGTAATCTTGTAGTATAGTTTGAAGTCCAGTAGTGTGATGCCTCCCGCTTTGTTCTTTTTGCTTAGAATTGACTTGGCTATGCAGGCTCTCTTTTAGTTCCATATGAAGTTTAAGGTGGTTTTTTCCAGCTCTGTGAAGAGGGTCATTGGTAGCTTGATGGGGATAGTGTTGTATCTGTAAATTACTTTGGGCAGTATGGCCATTTTCACAATATTGATTCTTCCTAAGCATGAGCATGGAACATTTCTCCATCTGTTTGTGTCCTCTCTTATTTCATTGAGCAGTGGTTGATAGTTCTCCTTGAAGAGGTCCTTTACATCCTTTGTTAGTTGTATTTGTAGATATTTTATTCTCTTAGTAGCAATTGTGAATGGCAGTTCGTTCTTGATTTGGCTCTCTTTAAGTCTGTTGTTGGTGTATAGGAATGCTTATGATTTTTGCACATTGATTTTGTACTCTGAGACTTTTCTGAAGTTGCTTATCAGTTTAAGGAGATTTTGGGCTGAGATGATGGTGGGGTCTTCTAAATAGTCAATCATGTCATCTGCAAATAGAGACAATTTGACTTTCTCCTTTCCTAATTGAATAAATTCAATTTCTTTCTTTCTTTTTTTTTTTTTTTTTTTTTTTTTTTTTTTGCCTGATCGCTCTGGCTAGAACTTCCAATATTATATTGAATAGGAGTGGTGAGAGAGGGCATCCTTGTCTAGTGCCAGATTTCAAAGGGAATGCTTCCAGTTTTTGCCCTAACAGTATGATATTG